CCCCCCATGCCCCCCCCTCAACCGATCCGGCTCACGCTACCAGAATCGCTCAGCCAGCCGGGCCGGAGACGTTTTGCGCGCCCGCCTGGGCCATGCGGAACCAGCTGCCCCTAAACGCTCCCGGGGGCCACGCGCACCCAGAGAGGGCGGAGGCAGGAAAGGCAGCCAGAGCAGGGGCTGGCCCCCCCCCGCCCCGCCAGCAGCCTGCATTTCCTGCGAGTCGGGGCGTCTCAGTTCCCCCCACTTCCCCAGCCTCCCTGAGCAGCAGCTTCCCCTTCTTACCCCCCTCCCCAGGTCGGGGCTGGAGTGAGCAAAGCCTCGCTTGTGGGGCGGGTGGGGGGCAGGAAGGCGCAAATCGCTCAGCAGATGCAAAGACAGCAAGGAAAGGAAGCCAGGCACCTGGTGGGTTGCCTGCCCGCCTAGAGCCAAGCCCCGGGGCAGGCTCTCCGAATGCGGTCTGATTGCCCTCCTTCCCAGGGCCCTGACCTCCTCCCTCCCCAGGGACCGAGGTGCACCCCAAATGGCTTTGGAATGTAGCCGGCCTGTTCTTGCCACTGCCAGACAAGAGGGCACCCTGGCGACTGGGGGCTCCCTTCCCCATCTCTGCAGGGCCTCCAGATCAGGCCTGCCCAACTGGCAGATGCAGGTCAGCAGGCGAGGGGCTGGGAGGGCAAGTGTGGGAGCCGCCAGGCAGAAAGGAGTGGGACGTGCGGCCTTTCAGAAAGGGCAAGAGAGCAAGAGGAGAATCTCCAGGGGCCCTCCAGCAAAGCCAGCTGATAAGAGCGCGTCCGGTGATGCTCTCTGAAGCACCGGCCACCATGCCAAGCTTCCCAGCCGATGCCAGACTTCCCAGCCGCGCAGACTTCAGAGGATCTCAAGGGGACGTCCCAGCTGGATGGGGGGAGCAGTCCCCAAAGGAGTCGTGGACACTCACCAGGGCAGAGGGAGCCCCCCCAGCCAGGCCACAGTGGTGCATTCCTTTCCAAACCGGACCTGGCTGTCTTGTTCCCCAGAATCTCCCATCTATTATTCCCGCGGTGGAGTTCTGTATTCCACCCCAGAAGAACAAACGCCTCATTTAAGGCAGAAGGAAGAGCCAGCGCTTACACAGCCAACCATGTTGCAATTCCCAGATTCTTGACGCTCTTCCAGCACTTTCATGCAGGCCAGGGATTTAATAAATAAAGGGGATTTTGGCTCACGGACAAAGCAGGCGCGGCAGAGGCCTAGCTTTGTGGTGAGGCTTGGGGAAGGGGCGCTCTCTTAGAAGCCCCACATCTCGGTTCGGGCAGAGAGACCTTCAGCAACGACCTCCAGGAAAAAACGCCCCCATTCTCCCGCTCCTGCAAACAAGCATATTCTGTTTCTGCGGTTTAATCCTTTCCCAGCACAGCCCACTATCTCAGGGTGCAAAAAACACCCATTGGTGGGAAAAAAACAAAAAAACAAAATCTGCCAGCATTTTTTGCAACTTGAGTCATATTTCAACCTTGGAAACAGGCTGCTTCCTCTGCCCGTGGGAAAGGCAGAAATTCTACGACCGACCGCCAGATTTAGAGGGAGCTTCCAATTTCCGAGACCACCCCCAGGCGCGGAGGAGAGGTCCAAACACTAGGCTGCGATCGGCTACCTGGACAGGTGGATTTTATATTCTCTCTCCATACCCTGGCACAAAACAAAGGAGCCGAATTTCTCAGGAGTTTGAACCGTTTCGCTTGGACGGAACCCTGCAAGGCGCAGACCAGGCGCTGCACTCAACACCTGTTTTCGGAACGGCCACCGACAAAACGGCCGTGATCGCCGCCTGCATCTTCCCCCCGGACGTGGCTCTTCCCTCTCCGCCGCCCCCCAGAATCGGACCCCCACACACACCCCGAGCCCGCCTGAAGGCGTCCGCTTCTTCAGCACCAGACCTCCCCGCGGCTGCGGACACGCTGAGAGTCGGCGCGCTGCGCCCTCGGAGGAAAGCGACCGCTTTTGGTTTCGCTCAGCCGCCGCCCGGCCAGCCGCCCGCCCACGGACCGGAGCACCCGCCAAAGCCCCGCGGCGAAAGCGAGCCGCGGCCAGGGATTGCGGCGGCT